TCTCTAGCTAGAGGCAGCAGGTGGGAGGGAGGCTCATCCTGCCAGGGATGGGACTTCTGGGCCTGCCGGAACTTCTGAGCTGCACTGTCTACTGCAGTAACCACTGGTCTGCACTGCTGCTGCGCACTTGATGTTGGAGACTGCATTTTCAGTCAGTTAATACAATTCAAATGGCCAAAATGGCTTGCCCGGGTGTTCAGGATAGCCTAGCTCAGCCCCAGGCGTTCTTGCCCACATCCCAGGAGCAGCATGTCTGGCCCCCAGCCTAGAGGAATTTAAGTCCCCTGAGGGCAGATTTGGGGCCCACATGTCCAGGGATTCCCGGAGCGCTGATGATCCTTCACCCTGGCAACTTTGCTCCACCGGTGTGGGATGCCAGGTTTGTCCCTGCAGCCTGCAGCTTCCGCTTCCCTTCCCTCCCCCTGTGGCCCGCGAGCTCCATGATCCAGCCCTTCCTGAGGCTGAACCTAACAACTGCCTGAATTCCTAGGCCGGAGTTTGGGGGCACAAACTCACAGCAGGGTGGCCAGTGGACGTTTGGGTGGTGCTGCCCCTCCCCTGCCCTGTCCAGCCCTGGGAGGGGCCCCTGGCCTGTCCCTAGCCCCAGACGTCCCCTGCTGAGCTCCACAGCCACCAGGGCCCACGGCAAGGGCAGGAGGGAGCCTGGGCAGCGATGCTGACCGAGCGTGAAGAACCCCGCCCGGCCACAGGCGCCAGGACGTGCGGCTGACTCCAAGGGCCCACGTTGGGGAGCAGCCACCGCGGGTGCCCAGAGGGGCCGCCCCGACGGCTGCACTCGAGGAAAAGCTGCCCTCCTGTGTCCCCCATCAACCGCATTCGCGTCCTGCCCACCCGGGGCAGCGCGGCCTGTGGGGAAAAGCCGGCGTGGCGCGGGGCATTGCGCCTGGCCTTCCCGAGCGCCCCCTGCTGGCCTCCCAGGGCTCTGTCTGCGGCTCTGCCCGGCCCTCAAGAGCAGGGCTGTCACGTGCTTCCAGGGCCCGACACTCAGACCGCACGCCTGGGAGACGTCCAGGGAGACGGCCCTCAGGAGCACACTTGCCCCCCCCCCCGGTGCTTGAGCCCCAGGCTGCTCCACGTCTGCTGTGGAGCTCGGGGTCCCATAATCCGGCCTTAGGGTACTCTCACTGCCCATATGGAACCTGCCACCCTCTGGTCCACACTCTTCTGTGGCTCTTCGGGGCATCACGTTGGTCACTGCGGGAATCAGTGGGGAGCTCAACTTGCAGTTGCTGATCTGAGAGAGGTCACAGATGGCACAGGCCGCAGAGGCTGCCCCTGAGGCCTGAGGGTCCCAGGTGAGCACCTCAGGGTGCTCTGCTCTTGCCTGCCCAGCCCCTTACTCCACACCATGCCCTCACCAGCCTCAGAGCCCCAACTCCACCCCCGGGGTTCACAGATCTGCTCTGCAAACACAGAGGCAAAGCGGTAAACTCCGTTGTTCCAACAGGGTACCCGGGCCCTGGCCAGGAGTGAGGCAGTCACCCATAGGCCCGCAGACAGAGCCCCCACTCCTTGTGTGTGGGCCTGAGGCTCCTTCCAGAGGAACAAGTTCAGGGAGGGGCCCAGGCAGGCAAATGGAGCCCCAGGTGGCTCTGCCTTCGATGGCAGGGGCCCCTAGGACCCTAGACCTCAGGGAGCCCAGTAGGACCTGGGGCTCCCGCAGCCCAGCTGTGCTCTGCCTCCCGGCTACCCTCCTACCTCTCAGCCCGCAGCAAGCCTGTGTGCCTCCTTGCGCCTCATTTCCTCACCTCTGCACGGTGCCAAGCTCCGCGTCCAGTCAGAGGGCGATGTGTGTCTCTGCCAATGCGCACTGAGCTCCCAGACTGGCACAGCTTGAATCGGGGCCCTCCCAGGGTCTCCTAAAGTGAAGTAGCGTCTAGCTGAAAGAAAAAATGCTCTCCCTTTAGCCCCCGATTGTTTGGACCTCACTAGGCTCTGGTTCAGTTCCATCTCTTATTCCAGGCTAATCGCAGCCTTGCCCAGTACACCTCTCCCAAAAAAGTTGAGACTGGCTTATACTGAAGTACTAATGACTCGTGCAACATTGCTAGAAAGCGAAGAGGAAGACACTCTACGGTGATGGGTCAGGCTTCAGCCTGAAAAAGATTCTTTCTCTGGAGTCTGGAATTCCCTCCCAACACCCCAGTGTACTGCAGAATGTGTCCAGCCAGCGCCCTGGGGAGCCCAGCCCTGGCCACCTGCAAGTGGAACCAGAGCTCATTCAAAGGACACTGTGGGCGGCAGCCCTGGGGCAGTGGAGCAGCCAGGAGGGTGTGCCCAGAGGAGCGATTCTTCACCTGCCTCAGAGGGCTGGCCCTCATCGCCCAGGCCTTTGTGTGGGGCACTGTCACCCCCCCTGGAGGGTTGTTACCTACCCAGCAGGCTCCAGGCACTCATGAGAGCAGGAACTCCTTCCCTGGCCACAGCAGCAAAGCCCTGTGAATCTGTGGCCAGCCGGCCCCAAGGCCCTCTGCCCACCCAAGTACTGGGTGGTCAGTTCTCGAAGGACAAGTGCTTACGGTGGGCCCTCCAGTTCCCTCGGGGCTTCCTCATCCCAAAAACTGACGTGCAACATGGAATGAGACCCCAGCTGAACAGCGCAGCAGATGCACAGGCCACCTGAAGGGACATCTGGAAGGACACAGCAGGGCGGAGGCGGCAGTGCTTGGCCTGGGCGTGCACGTTGGTCCAGTCTGAAGTCAGTGTGGATCCAGCGGGGCAGAGCAGTGCCAGCCCCACACCTGCGTAAATCCAGAAGCGTGCTGGTGCCACCCACAGAGGCAGGCCCGAGGCAGCTTTCCTCTGTTCTCAGTATTCCTGAGCTTTCTGGAATGAGCCAGTGTCTCTGGCCCCCTGCTTTTCAACAGTTGAAGCACACATGGATAGTTCCAGCTTCAGGAATTTCAGCCATGGCTGCATTTGGCAGCAGCTGCAGTGTCTGCCTGGCTCCCCCTCTCCTGTACCTCTGGATGCAGGGTGTGGGAGCCTCGAGAAAAGCAGCCCCTGATGGCTCCTGTCTGCTGTGGGTCAGCTCGTGGTGTAGCTTCCGCCATGTGGCCCCTCTAAGTTCCCGTCCTTGTGTTTTGAAATTAGAAAAGGGGTTTGAGTTTGGAATTTTCTGAAGTAATAGAAATGATGTCCTGTCCTGGTCCCAAGCAGACATCTCCCTGCCCCTCAAGGTCCCCAGATACAGAGTGAACTTGGGAGCTGGTGGGGACATGCCCACACCCTGACTCCCATGCCTAAGCGTGGACTCGAGTGGGGGAACCCACTAGCTGAGGCCTGGGCTGCAGGGGCGGGTGCTAACGTGGCTGTGGTGGCCACTTCTGTCACTATGACTTAACAACCTGAGAGAAACCACCTGGGGAGGAAGGCTTGCATGGCTCTCGGCTCCAGCCCATGAGCAGGGTGCTGCTGCTACTAAGGCTCTGGCCCAGAGGAAGCGCCGTGGCAGAGGACAGCACCCAGCTCATGGCTGCCGGCGAACAGAGAGAGCGCAAGAGCCAGAGAGAATGGGCCAGGCCCTGGGGCCGCAGTCACACCCAAGGTCACGCCCCAGGTCACCCCTCGGCCGGGGCCTTCAGCCTGTCACCCCCTTCCCAGCTGTGCTGCAGGGGCTGTCTCATCAAGGGATTCAGAACCCATCATCTCTCCAGGGCCCAGTCTGAACATCGCCACCCTCTGGGCCACATCACCACTACAAGAATCTGCTGGGCCAAAGGTCCCCAGGAACTCTGACTAACCCTGGTGAACCAGGCCCTTCGCTGAGAAGGACTAGAGGACCGGGAGGTTGAAGGCCTGGTGACCTTAACCCCATCTGAAGCAGCAAGCCGGAGCTCCTCGGCTGCTCCACTGAGCTCCCTGCCTTGTACCCACAGCCTCTCCCAGATGCTGAGCGCCTGGCCAAGCACCCCTCAGCTGCACATACCCTGCTTGTGGCCCTGGCTGGACTGGCAGGGTGCGTGGGCCTGGGGGCCATGCAGCTTCCTTCCAGCCACAACTCTGTCCCCATTCACAGTGGAGCATTTGGCTCAGGCCTCTGAGAGGAGAGGCCTCGGGGTCTTGCAGGGAGCTGGGCAAGTCAGAGGCAGGGTGTTGGCCCAGGGCTCAGCCCAGCCCATCTCAGCTGGCCTGTAACAGGGTGGTCTTCACCTCTGCCCTCGGAAGAGCTCAGCCCCCCTGTATGGTGCCCCTCTTTTTCTACTCCTGTTTCATAGTTCCCCATACTGAGCAGGGACTCCTGGGGCTGAGAGCAGGAGATGCCGTGCCCCGTCTTCTTTCTCTGTGCCTCTCCCTGGCCCTGGGGTCTCTGATCCCAGCCACTGGGGAGCGCTGGCTTCTCTGGGGTTTCGCACTCCTCCTATCATGCTAACCTCTGAGCTGGAGCTGGTTGCTGACCAGGTGTGATCAAAGCCCGTGGGAGGCGGGGGCACTGCCAGGTGCAGACAGGTGCCACTGGGACTAGACCTGGGCAAACACAGTCCAAACTTTGGGTTCCCCACCACCACCACGGAAGGGCCAGCCCCACACCAATGGGCCGAGGCTGGGGGAGGTGGGCCAGCTCTGAGGAGAGAGGAGCAGAGCCCACCAGAGGTCTCAACAAAGCTCCAGGAGGGAAGGCCATGAACGCCTGGACAGTGCTACGCAGCAGGCGCAGGTGGTTAGGACTGCAGCCCTTCCATGCCTCTGGTGTCACAGCCCTTCCATCCCTCCTCTGCCCTTGCTGTGGCCCCCACAAGAGGGCCTTGTGATGTCCTGCTGCAGAGAGCACATGACCTAACTGTCACCCTGGTCCCTTCCAGAAAGGGCTGGGCCCCCTGGACACTCCCTCACCCGGGCATCTGTGGCAGGACAGAGGTCACTGCCGCACCCAGGGAGGCCCAGAGTGGACCCCCACAGCAGGCCAGCGAGGCATACTCAGGCACATTCAGGGCTGGCACAATCTCTGTGGTAAGCCTGGCTGGGCCTGGTGTTCTTTCATGGGGCCTGAGGGCAAGACCAAGTGCTCGTGCTGCGACCCAGAGCCAGGCCACTGGGCAGCCAGCAATGACCCTGGGCAAGAGCAGCATGGACATCTCTGTCAGTGGCCCCATGCCCTGCACCAGGACCGCGTGGATGGGCAGATCCTGGGCCAGCTGCGCCCCCTGACAGAGGAGGGTCAGGAGGAGGGGACAGAAGCCACCTTACCCGCAAGGCCTGCCTTCCCTGGGATGGGCTCTGAGGAGCTGCGGCTGGCCTCCTTCTACGACTGGCCACTAGCCACTGGCATTCAGCCCGAGCTCCTGGCCGCTGCAGGCTTCTTTCACACAGGTGAGTCTGGGAGTTGGGCTTCCTGTTGAGGCTAGATGCTACTCCAGTCCCTTCCAGCCCCAGGACCCTGCCCATCCCCAGACAGGGGGTCTGGCCCAGCAAAGACTGGGACCCATAATCCCTCCCTGGCCACGCCCTATGCCTGGGCTCACTGCTACAAGGACCCACCTACAAGGAGTGGGGGCGCTCTGGCCTGGCCAGGGCCATCTCAGATGTAGGGCTTGCAGGTTTGTGGCTGCACATGGTTCAGGTAGGTCTGCAGGGATACAGGTAGATCTAAGGTCTGCCATACTATCAGGCCCATGCCATGTTCCAGGTGGCAGAAGGTTAGGGGACAAAATCAGGATGCAAGCAGGAGCGTCACCCACCACTCAGCCTGTCAGCAGTTCCCCAGGCCTCCCCCACACCGGGCTGGGGCTTGGGCATGAATCTGAGCAAAGTCCTTCCAGAGCTCTTCTGGTTGCCTGCCCTGCACGGTAGCACGGTCAGGCTGGAATGCGGGTCTGCCTGTGACCCTTCCTAGCTTCCAGGGGCACTTGTGTGAGAGTCCTTGTGTGGGTGCTGCCTGCAAGAGTCCATGGTGGACTCAGGCAGGAGTCTCAGTGGCTGGGGGTGTGAGGCAGGGCTCTGTGGGCCCCAGGTGTCTGCTGTGGGGCTGTGGCCTTTGCTTCAGATGAGGCAGGGCCCACAGTGAGGGGTGGGATGCCAGAGGAAGACGGGGGGAGGGAGCACCTAAAACCAAGCTCGGTACCAGGATGACTGGAGTCACCCTTTCCTCCCACCACTGAAAGTCCATCCAGGGACACCCATGTTCCCAGGCTAGGGACATCCCAGGCTCAGCCCTTCCCTGGACATTCTTCTGCCCTCCTGCTCCCAGGCCTAAGCATTGTCCCCATTCCCCTTTGAGACAAATGAGGTGCCATGAAGTCACACACCAGAGCCTTGGGGACCCCCGCCCTATTGCTGATTTCTTGGAAGGAAAGGCACCCACCCTGCCAGCCCCAGCCCACCCAGCTCCTACAGCCTTGGAAGAGTCACAGCAGGGCTGCGGGTGCATGCAGGGGCTGGGCCAGCATCTCTGCTGCACACAGGCCAGCAGGACAAGGTGAGGTGCTTCTTCTGCTACGGGGGCCTCCAGAGCTGGGAGCACGGGGATGACCCCTGGACTGAGCACGCCAAGTGGTTCCCCAGGTAACAGGGGCCTGACTCCAGTGCTTGGGCTGGGCAGGGCTTCAGGGAACCATCGGCAAGACCAGGACCAGCCCCACCTCCCCGTCCTCCACTGTCTCTTGAGGACAGTAGGCATCCCCACTTTTCTGGCGGGACCCCTCTTAGGAAGGGTTGTGAGGGGGAATTCTGCTACCAGGCCTCCCGGGGTGCCCAAGGCCTGCCTCCAAGACAGCCTTCACAGCGAGCGCCCAGGGGCTCGCCTCAGCCCCAAAGGGCCCTCATGCTTGCACTAGCATGGGGCTCTCACCGGAACTGGAATCTACTTGTCTAGGTGCCAATTCCTGCTCCAGTCCAAAGGCAGGAGCTTCGTCCACAGCGTCCAAGAAGCCTATTCCCCTCTGCTCAGCTCCTGGGTGAGTCTGCCTCTCCTCAGGACTCGGGTGGACAGTGACTTCCCCCCACACCTGTTACCCAAGGACGATGTCTCCTAACAGGACCAATGGGAAGAACCAGAAGAGGCAGCCCCTGCTGCATCCTCTGGTGAGAGCCGTTTCCATGGGCACCTTCAGCTGGATAGTGCCCCCCGGGATGGTGGCACTTCTGGGCATGCGGCCCCACAGTCTAGGGCATCTCACCTTGCACTGCGCCTTGCAAAACTCAGGCCCCAGCCAGGTGCTGATAGAATATTCCAGAAGGCCCAGCCTTCTCCTGCTCTCTGCCTTGCAGATGCCAGGGGCAGGCAAGAGAGGTCAGCATGGGATCAGCACCCTGATGTCCTCCCAAGCACGTCCCCAACACAGCTAGGGGCTGACCTGCTTCAGGAAGAAGATAGGGACCGGGCAGCAAGGGCCGGAGGTACCTCCACCCCTCGGGTCACTGCCCACTTCCTGTCTCTTCTCCTTCCTCACCCCTCCCTCAGGGCACAGCCTGTCGCCACCACCCCCAGCATGTGGCACTGTAGCTGCTGCATAAGGGGCTGGATGGGCAAAGTGCCCTCACGAAGGGGCAAGCGCCTTGGTGCTCCTTCCAGAAGGCCTTCAGCTTCAAGTCTGTCCCGGGCAGAGGGAGCCAGGCGCTCCCGATTCTGCTCTTCTGGTCAGAGCTGGACCTTGCCATCTGCCACGCCTGTCTCTGGGCTGGGCCCTGCTTCCTCCTCAGGGTGAGCCCTCGAGTCTGTTCCTAACTGCCCACAGCTCCTGTCCACGGAGGCCCTGTGCCACTCTCACCCAGGAGAGAGACCCAGCCTGAAGACAGCAGGGAGCCAGGTGTGGCTGGGGCCACCTGGGGTGGGGATAGCCTCCCACACATGGGCAAGACAGGAGTAGACACAGGGGACTTGTGGGGGCTGGTGGGTGTCAGCCTCTCATCTGCCTGCAGAGTGGGGCCCATGGCACCAGCTTGTCCCCCTTGAGTAGACATCTGAGCCCAGCCCCTAAGCATGCCGGTGGGTTCTCCAGCCCCAGGAGCTGCAGACCTGCAGGAGCAGCTGAAGCGGCTGCAGGAGGAGAGGAGGTGCAAGGTGTGCCTGGACCACTCGGTGTCTGTTGTCTTCGTGCCATGTGGCCACCTGGTCTGCACAGAGTGCGCCCCTAGCCTGCAAGTGTGCCCCATCTGTAGGGCACCCATCCGCAGCTGCGTGCGCACCTTCCTGTCCTAGGCCAGGTGAGCCTCTCCTGAGGGCCTGGATGTGCCCTCAGCGGTCCTAGCTGGTGCGGCCCTTGACCAGGAGCAGCACCCAGGGGCTGTGGTCAATCCTGTGTCCTCCCCTCAGTGCAAATGTCCTATCCTCATCCTCCAGGATGGACACGTTCTGCCCAGCCGGCATATGGGGCTCAACCAGGCCAAGGGGAAGTCAAGGCTTGCCTGAGCTGCAGCCTGCACCTCAGACCTCAGGAGGGCCGGGTGGGAATCCAGAGATGGGGGCCCCCCAACTCGTTCCTGCAGAAGTGGCTGGGGGACCCCTGTCTTTGTTGAGGGGCAAGAGCCATGCCCTCGTTGGGACTCTCAAAAGCCAGTGTGCCCTCAAGTTGCATTTGAGAATTTTCTGATAGAAAAAGGTGACAGATGTGTGCCCTGGAGCTTGAGCCGTGGCTCAGTGCACAAGGCTGAGAAAAGCTGGCTTCCTCCAAGCTTTCTGTTCCCCCTCCAGGTGTTGTGACTAGCCAGGTAGGCCACCAGGGGCACCCTGTGGGCCTCAGCCTGTCCCAGACCACATGAGGTATCTGCTGAGGACAGGAGAGCTGTCATCCACTACTTCCCAGCCTGGATTCCTGGACCACAGGCCAGCACAGAGGAGATGCTCACTAGGGTGTGGAGGAGCTTTACTGGAGCTGCTTGTGTGTGTGTGTGTGTGTGTGTGTGTGTGTGTGTGTGTGTGTGTGTGTTTTACTGAAGACTGAACCTTTGCACTTAGCCACACCCTCAGCCCTTTTTAAAAATACATATATATTTAAATTTGGAAGCAGGGCCTTGCTAAGTCACTAGGTTGCCCAGACTGGACTCGAACTTGCGTTGTGATCCTGTTGCCTTCATCTCCCAGAATGCTGGGCTTACAGGCAAGCACCGTCCAGCCTAGCTTGTTTGGATACTTTCGAAAATAAATATGCTGAAGAGCTTCCTCTGAATGTTCTCTGGCTCAGTTCCAAACCCTATTGGCCCTCCAGACCCTGCCCCATCTCTCAGCAGCGGGGCAGTACCCCCTCCAGGCTGCCCGCAAGCTCTCTCCCTGCTTCCTGCTCCCCACCCCTGCCCCTTGTCCTGCTGGGTCGGCCCTGGAGCACCTCCAGAGACCCACTTCTGGCAGCTCACAGTGCAGGGAGGGTTGGGCTGTGGGCCACAATCTTTTTATTTACTTGTGGCTACCTCTGGGACTATTTGCCCAAGATCCCTCTTTCTGAGCAGTGCCACCCTTGTCACAGGACCCTCATGCTGTGGGGTGCCCAGCGCTCCTCTGTGCTGGGAGGAGTCTGGGTGCCTAGTGAAACACCAGGGGCTCCATCAGACCTGGTTCCTGGGGAGCTGCATTCTGCCAGGGCGAGCGTAGGAGGTGGACCAGGGCACAGTGTCTGATCAAAGCCCCCAAAAGTCACAGTGGCTTGTTTGGACTTCCTGGTGGGGCCATCGTTCCCCTGGCAGCAAGCCACAGTCACCCTTCGGGCAGGCCACCTGGGGAGGAAGCCCCTTAGCAAACAGTCCAGCCCTGCTGTGGATGGAGCTGAAACCCCAGCGGGGGCTGAGAAGAGTGGGAATGTGCCTTCTTGTTTTCTCTTCATTTACTTTTGCGCCTTTTCTCTCTTTCTTTTTTAGAAAGAAAAATGATAAACTCCTTCCACATTGCAGCCAGGGTCCACGCTGGCTTGGCTCTCCTGCCCTGGCTGGTGTCCAGGGTGGCCAAGCACATGCTGGTGTCATCTACAGAGTGCAGGGCAGGCAGGAGGCAGCGGGGGTCCCGGGCTGAGGGTCTCCAAGGTATTGCTGGTAGTGGCTGAAGTTGGAGGTCTCAGGGGCAGGGGCAGTTGCAGCCTCACTTACGCAGGCCTGCAGACCAGATGGGAGTCAGAAAGGGCTGTGTCCCTTCCTCTGGAGATCTTAAAATGCTTGTGGTCTCCTGACCTTTGGCAAAGGGGCCCAGGGACAAGGAGCTGGGCTCCTGCCACCCCGGGATAGGCTGGGGTCTCAACTTCTACTCACTCCAGCCAAAGACACTGAGCAGGGCCAAGCCTCAAGCAAGAGGCCCAGCCTGCGTCCCTGTGTGGGAAAAGCCAAAGGTCCATGCCATCAGTGAGGTCTGCCAGGCCCAGCTGCAGCTCAGGCTCCAGGCAGATACCCACCCATCCACCTGCAGTCAGCGCTGCGGCTGCCTAGACTCAGGGCCCTTGATCCGCCTCCCCACCGCCACAGCTTTACTTCCTACTCCTTTGTCCTGGAAGACAGACAAAGGGCTCTGGCTACCTCTGATGACCCCTGGCTGTAGCAGGCCTGTACTCACAGGGAGACTGCAGGCTGCCAAAAGGGCAGCCAGGGCGTGGCACAGAGGGCCCGGCAGCCAGGAGAGGCCGTGCTCCCCACAGATCACCAGACCCCTCTTCTGTCCCCAAGGTCTAGAACTGTTCTGGACAGAGCAGCATAGCCAAGGCTACATCAGAGGGTGGGCTGGGAGCCCAGCCATCCTGCCCTTGAGGCCTGGGGTCTGCAGAGCCACACATACTACCTTCTAGGAAAGAAGTCTGATCCTCCAAAGGCAGGACCCCAGTTTCCTGCCACAGAGAAGGCCCTGGAGAATCACTCAGCCACACTCCTGGGAAGTGACCTGTCACTCACACGCCTGCACTCAGACCTGGGAGCCAAGCCCACCCCCAGACTCTGTCATTGCTTGGCTCCAAGCTTGGGAAGAAGGCCTGAGTCCTGGGCTGCTGATAACCAGGAGTTACTAACTCAGCCAGACATGAGGTTGGTCTTAGAAAGGGCAGGCAGGGGGGTGACAGACACATGGACAGATGCACAGATGGACAGGCAGGCAGAGAGACAGACAGATGGATGCCTCATGAGGCCACTCATGGAGAGGAGCCTCACGCTAAGAACGCTCCCTGGGCCAGTCCACCCAAGGAGCAGGCTCAGCGGGCCATACTTACAAATGCGCCTGCTTGCACAAGAGCTTGGATGGCTTTTCATTAACATGGTACAGAGGAAATGGATCAAATCCACCAATGAAATCAACTGAAAGAAATCAAGACCCAAATAAAAGAAAACCCAAATGATGGAAGAGATGGCAGAACAGACAGCAAGCCCAACTGCAGACTCCCTGCTAGAGCAACAGGGAGACCAAGGGTGGGGAGGACAGGCCCAGGTCTGATCTCAGACCCTGAGAGGAATCCTGCTGCACACTGGTTGTGCGTGTGATTTCCTGGCTGGAAAATCTGAAGGCCTCACTGTTCCCGCAGGGGACAGGCATAGGGCACAGCCCAGGATGGGGCTGCACCTCACTGGCCAGGCTTCTCCAATCGCCCTCCCATCACGTCCACAAACCCAATCGTTGGTCCCTTGCAGCCACCTGTCCCATTCAGTAGCAGGAACTTACTGGGCAAAGTGAGTGCACTTCTGAGCCCAGGGCCAAGTCCTGCCTTAAAATGCTCTAACCATCAGGAGCAGGTGCTTCCTCCTGGCACCAGCTGTGGTCCAGGCAGCACAGGGGCAGGAGGGCAGAGTCAACCGTCAGACTCCCACGCATGGGTGCTCTGAATGTTCATTCAGACCCTGGCAAAGGTTCTGTCCACAGGAGTGCCCAGCCCTGGCCTGGCTTCTGCCCTGCCGCCAGATTTGTCGTTTCTCTACAGGGTCCTCCTGAGATGCAGGACTGCTACCTCCTCTTGTCGCACGCGGGAAAGTGAAAAAGACCCACAGGTGGAAGGGAAAGAACCATGCACCCAAATGGGCCTCCTGCTGCCGAGGGCCTCATGCGACGTCTGTGGCCAGCAGGACAAGTGGCTTTTGCCTCTGGGGCTCAGACCTTCTTCCTGGGGACACAGTGGAGTCATGAGGAGCAGCCTGGCCCCAGAGGACAGAAGCCCTTGAGCCTGGAGGGTGGCTGAACTCTGGGTCAGAGCCCATCCTCTCCCCTTAGGCCCTGGACTGCTCCCACTCTGCTCAGGCCCGGGGTAGGGAGCAAGGGCTACCACCGGCATACTGGGCACACTGGGCACACTGCTGAAAGGGGTCTCAGGCACTCCACGGAGGAACCCAGAGCTGTCACCTGACCAGCTGTTCCCCAACACCCCCTACAGGCCTGGAAGTGCCCCACACAGGTGTCAGCTGGGGGCTGTGACTGCACTTACAGCTGTCCTCTTCCTCTGTGAGCATGCTGACCACATAGCAGCTGTAGACGAAGCCCAGGAGCTGGAAGACACCGAGAGGCCAGCCGTGAGGCTGCGGGGCACAGTGAGGCGCCATCGCAGGTGTGCAGGCGAGCACCATGGCCCTGCTCTTCCTGGACCTCAGCTTCCTCCTGAGGTGCAAATGGATCTGCTTGGTTCCTGAGCTCCCCACTTCAGGCAGCACCTGCTGCCACCTCCAGCCCGCTCAGTGAGGACAATGGTGTGTTGGGAAGGGACCCGAAGGGGAGGAGGAGCAGGTAAGACTCTGAGGAATGGGGTCAGGGTGGCATTGCCACTTCCTTGCACGAGGGGGTGACCCCAGTACAGCCTCCAGTGACAGGACTCACAGTCAGGCTGATGGGCAAGGCATGGGGCAGCCAGAACGAGGGCCACTAAGGTACCACACAGCTGCCCAGGTCGCCCTGGCGGGGACTTCAGAGGCTGCCTCAGCCCAGCTTGCCATGAGAGAAGCAGACAGCCCTCTCCACAGAATGGGGAAGCTTTGCGTACTCCCCAGAGCAGGCAGAGTCAGCCCCGTGGCCCCAAGCCCAGGTGGTCAGGCCCACACCTTCCACCAGCATCCTGCAACCTGCTCCTGGCCAACAACAGCATGGCTGGCAATGTGGACGGAGGTGCTTTCACTTTCTGACCAGGTTGGCCATTAGGGAGCCCAGTGGGACACTGGCGGGCAGGAGACACAGGCCCCATGTCCCAGCCTCCTCCCTGCAGAGCTGCCCCGCCCAGCATGGAGCCTGGAGTTGGTGAGCCCTGCAGAGCTGCCCCGCCCAGCATGGAGCCTGGAGTTTGCAGACGCCCCCGCCTTGGCTTCACACTTAGTAGGGCCCCTCCCTCACCCACAGGCATGGCCTGTCTCACTGACACTCAAAGGCTCAGGATACACAGGAAAGATACTTTAAGGGTGGCTGGCTGGGCAGATGATAAGGTGGGGTCTTGGAAACAGCAGAGGTGTCCTCCATGATGTCCCACAGGCGGGGGGCGGGCTGTTCCTAGGGCACAGAGGAAGTAGCCACAGTGGAGACTTGTAACTGAGGGCCATCAGAGGAAGCAGGACTTTCTGGGTGCAGATGGATCCGGCCCTCTGACAAGCAGCGCTTGGCCTCCTGGGGCCTCAGCAGCCTGCAGCGCCGGAGCACCTGGCCAGCCCAGCACGGCTGCTTCCTGTGTCCTGCAAGCTCTGGTCTCAGTGCAGGCTGCAGCTTGCGGCGAAGGAGACCAGATGCTTGAGCCAACCCTGCTGAGGTCTGGAAGTGCAGCCTCACCTCGCCTTCTCCCAGGCAGATGAGAACTTCTGAGCTGATGTCCCCAAGGGCCCTGAACCTCTGGGAGTAGAACCTTTCGCACCCACCAGGGCAAGCCCAAGCCCACCAGGCCTCCTCAGGAGCAAGTAGGTTTTGTTTTTTGTTTTTTTTTTAATTGTCCAGAACTTATTGTAAAGAAAAAAATCATTAAAGCATATATGTAAAAAATATTAGCTATGGAAGAACAAAATTAAATAGCATCTTATTCCACATTAGAAAGAAAAAAACTGTAAGCTAAATAAACATTTCCTTCCTTAAAAAAAAAAAAAGAAAAAAAAAAGGACCAAGTGTGTAAAAAACTAGACTAATTAAAGGACTGAAAGAAAAAAAAAAATCTGTCCTCTTTGAATTTTATACTTAGCAAACATACCTTTAAAAACTAAAAGTAAAATATTTTCTAGTTATACAAACTTGAAACAATTTAATACCTCCAGACATAGCATACAGGAAATAACAAAGAGCATAATTCAAAAGGCAAGAGAAGTTGCCGTATGTGGAGCAAGTGTTTACCAGTGGGCCTATCTGAGCTGGACTGCTGGACTGGACCTCGATCCTTCTTCCAGCCCTGTTGATGCCTGCCTCAGCTCCCCTGTCTGCACTGCCTCTGGATCTGGGGACACAGGAGTCTTGGAAAGGACCCGAGCCTGCTTTCCCATGCACTCAGGGGTGCTGTTTTAGGCCTGCTTCCCACCCACAGCAGCATTGGGAGGCTGGGGTCAAAGCCACCATGACTCCCTGACCTGCGAGGAGGAGGAGGCCTTACCCTGGCAAGAGGAAGGCTGGCTCCTCCACACACAGCAAGGCTCAGCCCCAATGCCTCACACCCTCGCCAGCCCCCACAGCCCTCCCTAGCCCTGCCTGCTCACCGCCACCAGGATCTGCAGGCCGCTGTGCAGGGCTTCTACGTGGCCGGGCTCCAGGGCGCAGCCAGTACTTGACCCTAGAGCCTGGCCATGCAGGGTCCTGGGTCCAGCCAAGGAAGCCCCCGCATGCGGACAGCCTGGCCCGTGCTCCTGCCACCAGGATCGGTGCCAGGAGAAGTTGAAGGTCAGGAGCTCACTGTCCTGGGGGCAGGAGGGTAAGACTGGTCAGCATGGAGGAGGGCAAGGGGGCCCATCCCCAAAGGTTCCAGCCCTCAGCCCTTGCACCCCATGCTCTGGGAGGCTTCGTAAGCCTGTAGACCTAGGACTTGTTCTCACAGGGATCCAGGCCCCCAAGTCTGCAGCCAGAGCTGGCCCCCTCAACCCCTCAGCCCTGAGGTTTGCCCAAGTGGGCTAGCACTGATGACCCCCGGTTACAGAGGGCGGGGTCCCTGCTCGGCCTTGCCGGTGTCTGTCCCGCGCACCTCTGCCGGGCTAGCCTCCCCCACCTCACACGGACTGGGCGCCCAGGTCTCCTCTTGCAGGAAGCCTCTGGTGTGCTTTGCAACTGGGGGCCCAAGCCTGCAGACCCAGACAATACCCTTCACTGAAGACAAATCACGTGGCCACTTTACTAGGCCAGGGCAGTCTTGGTGGGGACCAAGTCCCCACCCCCATGGGAACACACAGTGAACAAAGGCGCGCACATGTTTATGACAAGTGGTGACCTGGTTAGGAGTCCCCTCCTGCTTTTACTCACCCTCGACAGGCCCCCCACTTCCAGGTAGAAGCAGATGATGAAGACGTTCCAGGTGACCCAGATGGCTGCCCACACGGCATACTAGGACACGAGGAGTGGGGAAGAGGGTGAGCCCTGCAGCCGGGGCTGCTTTTGCACCGCCCCGGGAGTTCCACAGCAGGGTCAGGGGCTCCTGAGGGCTTGCAGCCGGGACACTCAGCTCAGAGACTTCTTCAGGCCTAGTAGTACCCTCAGAAAAGCCACCTTGTCCACGTCAGAATTCTAGGTGTCTGACGTGGGAGTCTGGGGTCTGGAATCACATGTGTTCTGGTGGCTTTGAGGACAGCAGGACAGGACAGTGATGGGGACACATCATCCTGGTCACCCTTCCATAGTGGACTTACCGCCATGATGTAGCGTGGCCGGTACTGGATGGTGCCGAAGAGCCCCAGGATGACCATGACAATGTGGATGAAGTTGGCCAGGATGGGTGCCCACTGGTAGCCCAGAAAGTCAAACACCTGCCTCTCCAGGACGGTGACCTAGAGGCAGGAGGGAGTGAAGGCCAGCAGACCCAAAGGCGGCCCCAAACCTACCCACCAGGCCCTAAGGCCCTGGAGCAGGCTGGGACTTGTCTCTGTCCCAGCTGGCCCCTCTGGCTCTATTAGAGGAGCTATGCCAGCCAGACTACCAACTCCTGCTTAACTGAAACAGGCACTGAGGACCTACTGCTGGTCCATTCTAACAAAAATCTCCAAAAAGTCAGGCCTATACTCAAGGCATATACATATAACTGTATGTATATACATAACTATGTTATGCCACATGTTATTCCAGACCCCAGACTCTATATGTATATACATAACTCTATGTATATAACTCAGGAGGCTGAGGCAAGGGCATCCTCACAAGTCAAGGCCAGCCCAGACCACCTAGGGAGACCCTGCCTCAAGAAACAAAAAAATACTCCAAAGAAGCTGTTCAGGCCCTGAATGCTGCCAAATGTATGCTTCCCTTGAGCTCTCTCCCAGGTCTGACACTCATAGGTGTCAGGGGCAAATAAATAGGAAGCACCGGCCCCCAAATGCTGCTCAGCTGCTCTAGTGGCAGCTGAGCCCCTGAGTGCGCACAGGGCACTGGGCCCACTGTCTCCTGGTTAGTGGCCTCTCCCTCTTGCCAGCTCTGTGCACTGGCAGGCTGGCTGCACCTCCACTCCAGGGACACTTGAGAGGCCTTTGGCTCTGAGGTCACTGCCCTCCAGAGAAGCAGGCAGAGGGACCAAGGGGAGGGAACTAAGAATCCAAGGAATGTAATAGTTTATACCTGGAGGAGGTGAGCTAACTCTGAGCAAAGCCAGGATTATGAGGTATCCATGCATGCATCCATCTATCTGTTCATCCATCCACTCATCCACCCATCCATACAGCCATCCCTCCATCCACTCATCTATCCATCCTTCCATTTGTTCATCCATCCATCCACCCATTCATCCATCTGCTCATCCTCTCATCCATCTATGCATGCATGCATCC